AGTGGCATTAATTAAATGTTGCTTGTGAATTAAAGGGCAAAGGGGTATGTGACTTCAGAAATGACACAGACATGAATGTGGTTTGTGATGGCTACTGTCATGTCTGTTCTTTAAGACGAAACCCCAGACCTCTTTCTACTCTCTGTCTGTAGCTGTTCTGTTAGTGAGACACACCGGTAGGATACACTTTATGTACTCAGCCTGAAGCCCCTGAAATTGCAGCTCCTCATCACAAACATCCACTTGAAACATCTTCCAAGCAGCTACGCTGCCACACACCAACCCACAGTACGTCATCTGGAGTGGCACCCCGGTGCGCCAGAGAAGCAATGTCCAGTGAGCAGCCAGAAACATTTGTACATTTTTCCAGGGCATAAAGGCTTAACTCGCAGTGGGACTTTGCACTGAGGTGTTTCTGAGCATCCCCAGGAAGAAGGTATCGACAGAAAGGCAAGCTGAATGTTTTGCTTGCATTTCAAAAGGAAAATCTTCCCAAGTTGCAGAATAAACAAGAAAAAAAAAATGCACTGCAAAAACAACAGGAAGAAGAAAAGAAGGTTAATGAGAAGATTTTCCTCTTAACACAAGCAAGGCTCCATATTATTTTATTTCACTTATTACGTTAAACCTGGGTCAATTTTGGATGCATTCCACCATCTTTGAACACTATTTTAACATCTGATATTCCTCTGTCTGCGAGAGTAGGGATTATAGTGGTGGGGGTGATAAATCTGGAAGGACTATGAGATGGACTTGTCAGGGGATGACTTGTCAGGGGAGGAGGAGGAAAAAAGGAAATATACTTTTTTAAAATTATTTTAGGGCCCCCACCATTAAAATATGGGGTTTGGCCCCCATTGCTTCTAAGTGTACATTATGCCCCTGCCAAAGAATCGTGTTTCCATCAGAAATTAACCCAAAGTGGATTCCACGGGCAATTGGCTGCCCATTTCACAAGCAAGTGTCTTTCTGGGATCTTTCATGCCTTATAAAACGTAGTCGTCACACTTTTAGTTTTGCATGGCATTTTCAATGCTCTTTTGAATTATCCCAGTGAATCTTTCGATTTATCCAGATGTTCTGAATTAAAACAAGGAATAATAAGGTCTGATTCCTGCTAAAACGATGGGTTTGCTTTTTAGCTCGCTTCATTGCCTTGGAGTGCAAGGTGAGTAGAAAAGACAGAAACGTTGGTCAGCTTTATTTACCTGCTTATAACTGAACCCATGCTAGTGGGACTGGAACTGAGCTCATGGGTGCTGTTCCAAATTCTGCTGAGGAATTGCATGACATACGTGACTGCTTAGGTCACATAAGAAGTCAATGGCAGAAATAAGAAATTAACTGTGGTTCTCAATGTAGGGCATGTAACTATACCATTCCCATAACTCTGGATATGAATTTCTCTCTGGAAATGATGTAAATATTTAACATTTCTCACCTACACAGTAATGCCTTTATTCTGTTAGCAATTATAGATGAAGGCCATGCTATTTTAATATCAATTTCTATATATCCCACATATATAATATATATAAACTCTTCACGTGACTCCTGCTATATCCTTTTTCTTATGAAAGTATTGCAATTCAAAACAAATTTAGTACCTTCAAAGCAGCTGAAAAAAAAGCAGTTCAATATAATATCAGGGCTATGTCGGAAAGATAGCTAGGGAAAGGCAGGCTCACTATAGCCAAAGAGATCTATCTGTCTTAATCCAAATAAATCTCTGCTAGAGAAAGTGGAAAGGAAATATGTAAAATATCAAAATTGCATACGTCTCGTGTTTAAATGTTTCCACAGAAGTCTAACTGAGCTTGAAAGTTAGTCTTTAATTCAAAGACTAGGAAATACCAGGGAATCATTTACAAGGCCACAGGTCACTAGGGGGATACAGTAGTCTGACTTCCTAAATCACAAGCAAGCAATGTTAACTGAATCCTTAGTGGCTTTTATCTCGTTTTCAAGGGACTGTACATCTGTTCCATATTTTTTAAATGCTAGCGGTGATCAAAACAATGTACAGGGGAACATGCGTAACCATGGGGACTAATAAGAGACTTTCTATGGTCATGCTTGATGAAAACCCAGAACTGAAGCCAGCAAAACCCACAGGCAACAATTTTACATGTCATGGCAGGCATTACATCACCTAAATCTACTCTGCATTTAAATTTACATTAAAAGTGCTCCAAAGTCATTGCCTGCCCAGACATTGATCATGCAAAAGTCAACACGGTCATCAGGCTACTCCCTGAAAGAGGAGGTGAATCAATCAATGTTCATCATTCCCCATCAGAAACCACACCGCACTTCCGGAAAACCAGTTTCAGGCTGAGGTTCAAGGAACTGTTTGGGTAGATGTGTGAACTCCACTGGCAAAAGCTGAGAGGGTTAACAGAGGTCCGGTCACACAGCAGGAACGGGCAAGACTTGCAGGCTGAGTCCACAAGTTGTTTAAAGGTCCACGACGGTGAAATAATGCAATGAGGAGGAGGGGGGGATAGCTATGAAGGGAAATATCTGAGGGAGATAAAAAGTGTTAAAATGCACCTGAATTGGAGGCGCCTAGAGAGGGCTGCAAATGGTAACCTTTCCCTAAACGGTAGTCGTTTTTGCTGTTGCTGCTTTTTGTGAGTTATGTAAATGTCTCCCTCTCCCCCCAGGCTCTAAAATGGGAATGACACCTCAGGGGGTTGTCTATGAGATTTAATTAGCTGTCATTTACCAATAATCCTGGGTAAGGCCATCTTACTTTACCAGGTGAACATCTGAAATGCAAAAAAAAAAAAAAAATCATTATTGTTAGGAAATTTAATGATTTGTTTTCAATATGCTGTACACATATAGAGTATGTAAACATCATTTAGTACCTTCAGAAGGGACTGGGGAATGGGAGTCCTCATTTAGATTTTCAGGGAGAATCTGGAAAGTGTGTGACGTGTGAGCTATGAGAATCTCTCTCCATTGTTTTGCTGACTTCTATGCAAATACAAGGTTTGTACTGCAAATTACATCCCTTACAAGGGCCAAGGGGGGAAATCACTTTCCAAGTGGTGTTGACCCACTTGTTCAAAACAGAAGGCTGCAAGTCCTAGAGCACCAGCTCTGAACTGATTGCAGTAGAAATCTGAATATAACTCTAAACATCTGAGTTTTGAATAGCTTAAAATAACTTCCAGATAGCAACAAAGTTACTGCTCTGAAAACTAATTACTCACCACTGATACCAATCAGGTTGCTTGCGTAGTTACCCAGGCACAGGCAATGAATGAGAAAATCCGTCCCCTTGGCTATCAAGTTTCCCAAGCTTATATGAATGGACCCTCCTCTCTA